GTATAGCCTCCTCCCTGGGAGATGGACAACAGAGAAGTGGGCAGGAGGAGATGTTGGACAGTGTAATATATGACAAAATAATAATAATTTATGAATTATGAAGGGTTCTTGAAGGAGGGGGAGTGGGGAGGGAGGGGGAAAATGAGCCGATATTAAGGGCTCAAATAGAAGGCAAATGTTTGAGAATGATGATGGCAACAAATGTACAAATTTGCTTGACACAATTATGTATGTATGGATTGTGATAAAAATTGTATGAGCCCTCAATAAAATGGTTAAAAAATGTCCTTTCAATTTATTGCATCTGGGCTACAATCTGAGTAGAGACTTGCATCAAAATCTAATCTACTTACATCTGATTGGCTGCTGATAACAAGGTTTCATTATGAAAGTGATTACATTGTGTTAGGTCACATTGTAGAGGAATACTAGGTCTTAACTAACAAACCACTGAGAATCCTGGTCCAGCCAAGTTGATACCAAACCTAACTATCATACTCCTATACAGAAGAAACAGGGCTAGATCAGCTGCAAATGTGGGCAATGGTCTTCCACAGTCATTAAATTGATTCCAGCAGCTGGTGTTGGGTGTCATGGCACTATTTTGCTAAGGTGGACAGCCTATTCCCTCCTAGCTGGGAATAGATATAGCATGGAGTTCTCCGGTTGTCATATGGTGTTTATGCATGAAAGACAGAGAAAATTACTATCTTCCCTAAACGTGGAAGGAGGCTTCCATACTTAGAAGAAACTGGGAAAAAAATGTATGGATTGTGATGTGTTCTATGAACCCCTAATAAAATGATTAAAAAGAGAGAGAGAGAAAGAGACTCAGTTCACAGCCTCCTTAATAGAGAATGCACCTGGTCTCCTCTAGTCTCTTCTTAGTTGCCTCATATTAGAGAGAGATCATTTCCCCAATATTCATGAAGTAACCATACCAATGGAACTTGAACCTAGATAAAATATTACCAACATGCTGGGTCCACAGGATGAAATCAGGACAATGACCCAGGATATCAGATGTGGTTTGAATGCTCTGCTGTAGACAAGTTGAAGTTGTCAGTAATTTTAAAACATGAGGCCTTGCATTTTGTGGTGTGTAGTTGTGGATCACATTGTATTTTATTCTGTGACTATACAACAATATACAATAATTTATTTATTAATTCTACTGCTTGGTGGTTTTCATTCTAGGTTTATTTTTAAATATTACTGCTGTTTTTGTATTTGTTTTTGCTTGTGTCTGCAGTGTGAAACTAAACAAGTTATGCTAGCTGTACCACTTACACATATATTTAAATATGTTCCAATGCTGCCAGTTTGGGTGCAATATATACATTCAAATTAGAGGAATAAGAATGGGCTTAATAATAACAACTTCTCTGTCAGATGGACGGTAGCTCTGCATGAGGTGCATTAGACTGGAATTAAACATAAGCCTCCTGCATATGTTCAAGTACAACTTTAAATATGAACACACTTGTTAAATTTCTCATCACCACAACACCCAGAGGACATAATCAAGGTCAATCCCATCATGGCTTACATCCCTGTCATCATCAGGTCCTCAAACCTCCCAGCTCATCTCTTAATCACCTGTACTTTGATCTTCAATTGGTTGTGTGCGATTTCTTTTTTCCCCCCTGCTGCTCTCTGTCGCCCCCCCACCCCACCCCCTCCCAATTGTGTGCAATTTCTAATCTGATCCAAATCCAACAATTTCTTGACAGCGTACACCATTATAACCTTCTCATTATCCTCCCCAGGAATACCGTCTATTCTTAGCAAAATCTCCTCCATCTTCAGTATCTGACAGAATGCTCAGATCAGCTCCTTTCCCTAATTGTCAGTTGGTTACTTCCAAAGCATTATGATTTTCCTGCAGCATCTTAGGGTCCGGGCTGTTTTATTTTTCTCCTATTTTTCAGTTGATGACTGAGCTTACTAACAGTGATGTTGTTGCCTTCTTTGTTCCCCTTTGCCACTCCCAAACTATTTGTTCTCCTTTTTCATAAAATACACAGTTACTTTACTTTAAAGCATATGCCATCAGGTTGCACCACACACACATTTCCTAGCTGTAGTCAATCGTGTCAATACATCTTAGCATTCTGATACTCTCAAAGGGAAACAAAAGGCTATTTTACCACATAGAAATGAGTTGGCAAGATCAGGTAGAAGTGATTGCATCAATGGAATCAGTGAAGACACTCTGGAAATTGTTCATTTGGGGTTACACACTGGCAGAAGGGCCATCTTCTGTTCAATTGTAAAGACACAGGAAAGAATCAAGGGCATAATAGTCAACTTCAGGAAGAGGATAAGATGGACATTGTGAAGGTGTCACTATGCAGTCATAGGAGTGTGAACTTGATCATGAAAGGAAGCAAAAATGCAGAAATTACTGGAGTTGATATCTCTGTGGCCTGTATGAAGCAGAGCCTTATTAGTACAAATGTTGTGTTACTGAGCAAAGTTACCATTCAATTAAACCTCTGCTATATTGAATATGAAGGAGCCCTGGTGGTATAATGGTTATGTGTTGGACTGTGATCCTCATGGTCTGCAGTTCAAATCCACCAGCAGCTCTGCAGGAGAAAGACTGAGCTTTCTACTCCCATAAACCATTACAGTCTTAGAAACCTACAAGAGGTCACTACAAGCCAGCATTGACTCTAGGGCAGTGTTTATATATATATATATATATAATAAAGGCTTATAAATATATATTTAATAAAGGTATATATTTAATAAAGGTATATATATTTAATAAAGGTATATATATTTAATAATGAGGATGCCATGCTGGTGCAAGCAGTGAAGTACTATACTACTAGGGAGAGGGTGGCAGTGTGAACTTACTCAGAGGTATCTTGGAGGATAGGCCTGGTGACTGCTTTTGAAAGGACACACAGTTTGAAAACCCCATGGAAGATTTCAAACTGCACACATGGGGTCACTATGAGTCAAAATCTACTCAAAGGCAAGTAGTGAAACAGAACACTATTACGGATCCTCAATGATAGCACAATTAGCCTGTACATGAGGACAATATGCAAATATATTTTAAGAAGAACCCAGAGAATTATTTACAAATAGTTGCTCAGAGAGAGCACACTCACTGAGAAGCCCAGGCTTCCGGCCTCAGCCAGAATCTATGAAAAGTGGTGTTGCATTAGACAGTCCTGGACCCACCCACACCCACCCATAGTGGACCTTCCATCCAGGTCTTAATCTCTCTGCAGGCGGGTTACTGGATCCAGCTTCCACCCACCCCTGGACTGAAACCACCCAAGCAGTACATTTGAATTTCCAGACCCGAATTGGAAAAACTCTTGGGGACGTCTGGAGAACGCTCCTAATGATTTATCTTCACCAAGGGACCGCACCTTCATCTCCAATGAGCCAGAACTACCACTGCGAGTGCGGAGCTGCCATCAGCCAGCAAATCAACCTGGAGCTCCATGTCTCTTACACCTACCTCGCGATGGCACATCACTTTGCCTGCAAAGATGTGGCCCTGAAGAACTTCGCCGACTACTTCATGCAGCAGTCTTACATGCAGCGCCAGCACGTGGAGACACTGTTGCAGCTGCAGAACCAGAATGGAGGCTGCATCCAATTCCGTGACATCACAAAGCCTGAGGAGGACCACTGGGGCAGCCTGCTATCCGCCATGGGGCACCACCTCCACCTGCAGCAGAGCATCCACCTGAGCCTGCAGGACTTGCACTGGACGGCCGGTGAACTGGGCGTCATGCAGCTGTGTGACTTCCTGGAGAGCCAGTGTCTGAACCCGCAAAGCAGGGAAATCGAAGCGCTAGGTGTCCACGCGTCCAACGTGCACAATCTGCGGGGCCGGGAAAACCGCCTGACTGAGTACCGCTTTGACACCTGCCACTGGGATGACGGCAACCAGGAGAAATGCCCTGGAGATAAAAGAGTCTCAGAATCCCAGGTGCCAAGCAAGCATGCAGCAAGTACAGTAAGTTAACTAATTTTTACTTTTTTCCGAGTTTGCCATTCATTTCAATAAAGTGTTTGGTTGCAGAGTCAAATAA